GGGAAGAAGAGCTGCTGTAGTTCTGGTTAGCATCTGCATGCACTGTTCAAGGTTCAGCTTTCCAGGAAGGTAACCTCTTGCATTAACGATGAAATTAGAGCTCTCTGAGTCAGTTGTAGCAAATTAGTGTACTTGTTACATCTCAGAAGGGTTAAATATGTATTTGCTCAGTTTCACGGGCAAGAAGCAACTTATGGGAGTCATCGTTCGGTAATTAATCCAAAGAGAATTGTGCAGTTACTCTAATAAAAATGCCACACGTTGTATTTGCTAAGAGGTTTTTCTGCTTGCCAGTAGGAAGTTGCTTCATTTAAATGTTCTCACTTCAACATGAGTTATTGCAGAGGTGTGCAAAAGGATTTTAACTGCAAAATGGACATTTTACCTGTTGATAATTCCTATTTACTATTTAGAAGTGATTTTTGATCATAGACATGTTCATGCCGGATGAAGCCTGTGGTTTGTCTAGCCCAGTACTTTGCATGTAACAGCAGCATGTGCCATATATTTCACAAAACCTGAATACATTGCTGAAGTCTCTTCATAACTCCCAGCTCTTAGTGGTCAGCCTATGACTTGCCTTCAAAACTTTTTTATTTCCTTTTATAATTTTTGATGTTCCCATTAGCTAAATAAATGGCTAGTACTCTCTGGAACCAACCTTTGTTCTTGGCCTCCACATTATATCAATAATTTCAACAGTCTAATATTGCTTTCTGTAAAATCAACTTTAAATGCAGTTGGTTTTTATTTGCCTGGCAGAGGCAAGAAGAGGAAATGCATGTTGTGGGACCCTGTAGATGCTTGGTCTGTCTTTCTTGCTAGTTTTTATAAAGCGCCTAGTACCGTGGTATTTCAACTCCTATGAACCACAGTGTCATAAATACCTTATCTTTTTGCCAAAGCCAAATCTTTTGATAGCATTTTGTCTTTTTCTCTTATGTCTCTTTTGGATGTGAAGTCAATGATATCGGACAGAGTATCTGTTCTGTTGACTCCTCCATGAAGAACCTACAAATCCAGAAGGCCCCAAATCCAACAGTTCTCATTTTCTTTTCTGTAAAGCAGATTCTTGACTTCCTGTGAAATTGGAAATTTGGGGAAAAGGTCTCAGGAAATTAATTACCTTAGTTCTTGTGTTTAAATGTCTGTTTTAGACTTTTTTTGAAATAATCCAAACATTTGAACCATTACATTATGGAGCTAGAAATTGTCTTAATATAGTTTCCATTTCAGATACCTGAAGATACTGCGGAGAGTGTAAATACATGAGATTCTCACCTCTACGTGGTGTCCTAAGGAATAGTTACGCCATTCTGTACTGGCTACAGCAAGACCATTCTACAGAAGATCCTTTTCTGTTTATGAGCTGTTCATAGTAATCCCTTTATACTTTTTTAATACTCTTCTGTTTCATTGTCCCAATGCTGAACTTCAGATTCCTGAATTCTCAGTATACTCTGTGTAACAAGTAATAAGTGGGCTGTTCTGTCTGACCCCAATGATCTTTTTTTTTGTTCCTATGCTTTTTTCACCATTCCATGATTAGAACACCCAAACCTAAGTGAGCGTTTTGAGAAACATGGCAACCGTTCTCCTGGTTACTAGGCAACACTGAAAGAATGTAGCTATGTCTACTAGTTTCCTCTCAATCAGCGGTCACAATATCCTAGAAAGGTCCCAGGTCTGAAATTTTTGAGCTCCAATGACAATATATATCAAAGCTTAATGTATTTCTAAGTGATCTGACTCACATTCCTTGGCCTTTGGCTCCCCTTAACCTCTAAGAGTATATATATGTGTTTTAACTGTAATTGAAAAGTATCACAGATATATAGCAATGCACAAACACATCAAGTCATATTACAGGTACTAAATAAAAATAAGGCTTAACAGAAATTGAATCAGTCCTGATCTTTGATCCATCCACATAAGTAAATAAATAAAAGGAATCACTGCGGAGTCTACCGTTGTCAAGGAAGCAATAACGTTCCAAAACCTGTAAAATTTGTTCTTTCTCAGTTTGAAAAAAAAGAAATGCAACAATGAATGCTGTTGTCTGTTTTCTTTAGCAGGGCATTTTTCCCTGTTTCTTAGGATGCATTACAACAGGAGATGGTTTTGAAATGCATCAACACTGGGTGAGAATGAAACCAGTAGGAATATATTTTGTGAGTCTCATTTGCAGGTATAGATGGACATCTGTCTTTTTCCTACTGCTCCTCAGTCCGCTCTTTAGGTGTCCGGCCCTCTCCCTACCTCACATGGAATGAGACAGTTATCAGCCACTTGAATAATCCCTCTGCTGTGTGTATCATCCAAGTTAGACACCTACTCCCATGGAAAGCTATAATTATTAGTATTCAGCAACTAAACATCATTCTTAAGGGCAAGGTTCTTGTTTATTTTTGTGGTAGAAACAAAATCTTTAGAGAAAAAGATTTCAGAATATGATACACTCCGTTTGATGCCTGCCTCCTCACATTGTTTTACAGTGCATGTCAGACAAAATCTCAGTTACCTTTTCACTTAAGTCAGAGACCTATTAATAATGTCAGAACTCTTTGTTTCTGGAGTTTGGCTTTCTTGGAAAAAAGGTAGTTTGTATGTACACTGAAGAAGTAAAATCTGCACTTTTTTGGAGAGTGTTGGCTTATTTCAAGCAATTCACTTTCTTTTCCCTGTACCTTTCAATCAAATTAAGCCTACATATATAGGCAGAAAACATTTCAATAACGAGATCTGCACATATTCATATAATATTAAAGAGTAGCCCTAAATTCACCACATTGTGTGCTTTATGATGGAAATGAATCTCCTGGGTTTATCTGAGTTTTCATTCAGATCACTGATCCCCTGCGTTTGGCATCAGTGCCCTTTCTGAGGGCGGGTTTGTCACCCCTTCATGCTTGCGGGTACCAGTGTTTGAAAACCCTCCCTGCTGCTTCTCAGCAGGCAGCTGCTAACTTGCAGCAGTCCCCAGCTGGCACATTCAGACCATTAACCTTACAGTCCTTTCTGTTATGACTATTTAGAAAGACAAACGTTCCCCTGCAACATCGGAGAAGGCAATATTTTCTAAATGCATTTAAACAGGCTACCTGAGCAGGTTTTTTGCTACCTACTTATGAAATTCCTGTGTCAGGCCATTCGAGTAGCTCTCACATAGTGTGAGGGAGAAAAGAAGAGAAAAGACTGAAGTAACTATTGAAATAGGAGGGTTTTTTAAGCATACTTTTGCAGAAGGAATGGTAAGTTCTTTTCTGCCTCATGCTTGGCATGGTGCTGCATGTTCTTTGGGTCCTTTGGTCCTTAGAGTAATCTCACATCATGTGCAGTCTTGAAAAGGCATTGCAATTTTCAGAATGCTCTATGAGTTGCGTGTTCTGATGGAGCTGAAGGCTCTTTCCCATTCTTCATGGCAGCACATTCAGTTATTTTGTTATTGTTTGTATGGCAGCAGTCATCAGAGATTTTTGTAGAGACCAGGGCTCTGCTGGAAAAAATGAGGACAATTAAGAGGAGATGGCCCATGTCTTAAAAACTGTACGGTCTAACTTAATACTCTGTAATTTAGAGTGCAATAAGGGAGCTAACTTCAAGTAGGAGGGAATGTGATAAAGAAGATTAGGGTAATTATAGTAATATATAATGACATACAGTTTCTATGAACACAGTATTAAACTGCCTTATTATTTTTCAACTTAGAAGAAAAAGTCTCCCTTGCAGTATGAATAAATACTAACAAAATCCTTTCAGGAAGCTGTTGTGCAGATGTACTCTCTCTATATATTCTTTTTCTCCTATAGAGATTCTACACAGATTCTTACAATGCGTCTATCCCTGTGGCATAAGAGTGCCTATTTTTGAACGTGGCAAAGAAAAAAACAATTATAAATTGTACAAGATATTGTTCTCTGCTGTAATGTAAAGTCTAGTAGCTGGGGTGACTCAAGATATGCTTATACTTATTCTTACACGCTGTCATTTTCTGTTTATGTACTGTTCCCAGGAAAATTTACAGATAGGAGGCTTGTACATGAAAAACTGTCCTTTATTAGTGCTAACTGCTGAGAGCTGTTCTGTTCTCATTACTTTACTTGAACTATTAGGTATTAAAAGAACGCAGACTGCAATTATTCATAGAATAATTGGAATTTTAAAGGGGAAAAGTCTATGTATCAGATCTCTGTTGTCTAGATCATAAGGAATGTTTCTTCTCTAAGAGATACGCCTATTGTGTCACATGGTAATGCTTACTCATAATAATTACTTAGCAAAAGGAAGAACACTTATTTTGAATTTTTCACTTAATAACAGAAAATTAGGTCTCAAAGTAGACCCATGTAAATGTCACAAGTCCACTAAACTCAGTGAACATATCCTGCTTAGGTCAAGGT